GGCCTCGGTCACCCCTTTTATCCCCTTTTAATATTTTTCCTTGTATCTGAACTACGTCTGACCTGAATTCTCAAAAATGAGATACGTAGGCGGCCTATGTCGGCCTCGGTCGGTTTCTTTGTAAATTCTCTTATTTTTGTTAACCCTTGACGGGGAACTACGTTTGACCTGATTCCTGCCTCAACGGGATACGTAGGCGCCGCAAGGGTTCGGTCATATCTCCCATAAGATTTCTATTATTTCTTGTCACAATAGAAACTGGGACAAAATTTTTGAGAGTGACTCAAAAATTCTCAAGAAAGAGATCCCTCCAACAAAGTCAAGACTGAAGTTACTTTGAAATTTGCAACTGGGACAGAATTTTTGAGAAAATCTCAGAAATCCCGTGATTTGCTCACCAACAGTTCGAGATAAGCCAAGACAGTTAACTGGGACAGAAATTTTGAGGATGGCCTCAAAATTTCAACAGAGTTTATCGGCAGTTTAGAACAACTTTGAAATACTCCTCAACAAGTAATCAGATAGACCTCGAGATACCAACTTCAAAGATGTTCGCTAAAGTTTGACGTGACATGACACTTGACAGTGACCTTTTCCAAATATTATTTTTTTTTTGAAAATCTATTTTCCTTAAAAACTTTTCATTCATGCTTCAATTATTTGGCCTAAAAATATTTTGTCTTATCTATCAAGAAGCGGAAAATCAGAAAAATCAATCGGAGATAGCAAGACAAGGAGCAGACAGCCGAAGAGATCAACACAGATCAGTTCATTTTTAAACTAACAATTTTTCTGTGGATGCAGGTCTATAGGTTGCCCCAAAACCAGCATACTCTTCCTTTCAATGAATATGGAGAAGTCAAAAGGGCGAGAAGCTCCCCAAAATTGATAATTTTTTTTGTGGATGCACGAAATATTTTATGCTGCTTATATCAAGGATTGTGGAATATGAATAACATTATTTTACTCAATTCCCAACAAGGCGAAGTCCATAATGAATGTACAACTATGTTCGGAAATGGAATGAACGAAAGCTGCGAAGAGATCAGTATTATTATTTAGCAACTGAAAATACCTGGAAGATATTTATCTGCATTATATTATCAAACACGATAATATTCTTACCCTGAAGGTTATTTATATTGTATTGCCGAATAAGACGATATCACTACCCGGAGAGTCATTTATATCGTATTATCAAATGAGATGATACCACTGCTCTGAGGGTTATTTTTATTTGTATTATCGAATGAAACGATACCACTACCCGGAGAGTCATTTATATCGTATTGTCAAAGAGATGATACCACTACTCCGAGGGTCATTTTTATTTATATTGTCGGTTGAGACAATACCACCATCCCAAAAATACCCAAAAGATCACTTATGTTGCTCGGTGAAGCATTATCTTCGTTCGGTATCAGGGAGGCATCATCAAAATATTCATGCATTGCGGGAAAAATGTCATGCATTGCGAGAAAAAGAGATTCATGCATTGCAAGAGAAGATTCATGCATTGCAAAAGAGAAAGAAGTCATGCATCGCGGAAAAAAGTCATGCATCGAGAGAAAAAATTCATGCATTGCAAGAGAAGGAAATCATGCATAGCAAAAGAAAGATTCATACATCGCGGAAAAGAAATCATGCATCGCGGGAAGAGATTTATACATAGAAAGAAGAAGAAGTCATGCATAGCAAGAGAAAGAAGTCATGCATAGAAAGAGAAAGGGTCATGCATTACAAGACAAATCAAAAGAAGGAATTCAAGCATTGCAAGAGAAGTCATGCATCGCGGGAAAGAAATCATGCATCGCGGAGAAGCCATGCATAGCAAGAAGAAAAGTCATGCATTGCAAGAGAAAGAAATCATGCATAGCAAAAGAAAGAATTCATGCATCGCGGGAAGAAGTCATGCATCGCGA